AAAATACTCAGGTTCTGGAGTGGAGCATTTGAGACCCAGCTCTGTGACCTATTAGGGCTGTGCCTCTCAGCAATTTAAAACTTGCTTTCCTCGTCTGTGTGGCACTACACTGTGCCAGTGGGTGCTCAGTCGACTTTGTCTGCACTCCCCGATGGGCCCTCCCTGATGTTGGTGGGGGTGGGAAGCAGGGTCCAAGCAAGGCGGTCTCTTTAAGGCAGAGGGAGCCAGGGTGTCCTCTGTCACCTTCCCCACGCACATATTATCCTACATTCTACATCCATAGTCTCTAGTGACAGAGTCCTGGAGGCAGGCGTCTTCCTGTAAACACCCAAGACTCAGGGAAAGGAGCTTTCTGGGTTTGAGAATCAATTCCTGCCTCTTAGAGATGAGCACTCAGGTTAGAAAGAAAGTTCTGGAGAGAAAAATCCACTGTGCAATCTAGAGGAGACCTTGAAAAGTTTTTTTTTTTAAAGGGGCTCCATTTAATACTTGATGATATATTATTAGAATTGCTGGCAGAATTCTTTTATTGAGATCGCTTAATTCTTTTTTAAAAATGTATGTATTTTTTACATCAGTCTTCAGTTTGTTTTTTTTTTAATTTATTTATTTATGCACACAGGACTGGGTACAGGCTAGAGGCTCAGGGGTGGCGAGAAGCTTCATCGGAGACAGAGTGGGGAGCAGAACAGGCAGATCGACGAAGCACACTGCTGAGGGGAGCAGCGGGCGGGCCAGGAGAGGTCTGCCACGCCATGTGGTCACCTCCGGGGCAGGCGGGAATCGAACCCATGCGGAAGTGGCTTTAGCTTCTCAGTGCTGTGCTTTAACCCTCTGCGCCACCAGGGAGGGCCCCATCAGTCTTCATTTTTATACAACACATGCTTATCATCTCGTGTATGGTCCCCAAGAAATTCCCACCACCTATTCACCTCTGCACCATCACTGTAGTCTCTCTTGCTTTTCCACCCATTTTGACCCAGTTTCTTCCTCCCCCACCGAAAAATGTCTCTAGTTTATAGTTGCCTGTTGATGAAAAGAAGATGTTTGACAAAAGCATTGAATAGAGTCCCAAAGAAATTTTGGGATTTTATTTGAGACTAATGTATACTTTCTTTTTGATTCATGCCCAAGAGCTTTCAAATAGTCTCTCCTAATCAAAAAGTCCAGAGTTCTTCATATTCTGCTTGTTCAGCTGTTTTCATTTATGCATTTGTGTTTGTTAACATATTGGTCACTTTTATTTATTTATTTATTTTAAAAGATTTACTTATTTATTTGTGCATCCAGAACTGGGGTACAGGACAGAAGTGCAGGGGCGGTGAGAGGCTTCCCCTGAGACAAAGTGGGGAACAGAACAGGCAGATGGACGAAGTACACTGCTGAGGGGAGCAGCAGGCAGGTCAGGAGAGGTCTGCTACGCCATGTGGGTCACCACTAGGGCAGGCGGGCATCGAACTTATGCGGAAGCGGCTTTAGCCTCTTAGTACTGCGCTTTAACCCGCTGCGCCACCAGGTCACTTTTATTTTACCAGCGACACACACGTGTTCATTTATAGAACTGTGTTCAGGGAGGGATGACTTCTGCTGTTTGGGGCCGCCTGTATTCAAGAACTCTATGCTTGCCATCCTGTACTGCACATGTTTAATATGACCTAGAAGTAAGCATGATAAACACGTCAAGGGTTAGCTGACTGCTGGCTGGAGGCAAGGGTGCCAGCTCCAGGAAACAGAGGGTAGAAATAGTAATTGTGGGACAACACTCCAGACACTTCCATTTCCAAACACATTTTGCTCTTGTTCATATTCTTTGCTCTGGCTCATTGCGATTGCTGAAAGTAGAAGGAAACAAAGGGAATCACATTTTATTAGACAATTTTATATTTATTGTGTAAATCAGTGATTAATAACATTGGGATTGGAGACAGTACATCAGGGTTGAACTTCAGTTTGATTACTTGCTGTTAAGCTTGGTAAAGAAACTTGATCTTACTGTTCTCACCTGCAAAATAGAAAACTTCAAAGTTTTCTGAATATCAAATAAAATCACATATCTAAATGGTTGGAATATACAAAGGAAATTGATAAATGATAGATAATGCATCCATCCTGCTTCCATCTCCTGGTCCCAAGTAATTTCTGTATTTAAATTATTCACCCTGTAAAGTGGGCATAATCCTTTCTACCTTATAGGTGAAGAAGTTGAAGATAAAGAATTCATTAAGTGAACCAGCATATTAACTCTTTTGCAAATGAAGAAATGGGGGCACAGAGTATTCAAATAACTTTGGTTTAAAGTTGGATGTCTTAAAGCAAAACAATTATGTCACATCGGTCAGACCTGGACAGTTCTCTATTGGCTGTCATTCTCGAGTGGTTGTAACAGTCATGGTGAGATTTGTTATTTGCATTATTTTTAAAAAATTTTAATATAATAGTTTATTTTTACATCATTTTGTGCCCTTTTCCATCTCAATTGTAATCCCTGTGGGCTTCCCATCACCAAGTCACCCGTGTGCCATCACCATAGTCCAGTGCACTCCTTCCCCGCCCTCTCCCCCCCATTTTTGATCCCATTCCTCACTCCACCCTCATAAAATGTCTTTGGTATATAGTTGTTCATTATTATTATTATTATTTCCCCCCTGGTCCTTTACGCTTCTGCTATGAGTGAAACCATCTGGTATTTTTGTTTTTCTTTCTGGCTTATTTCACTAAGCATATTTGCATTACTTTTTAAGACTCAGTTTTCTTCACAGACTGGGTCACACTCATGACTGCTTTCAATAAGGACTAGGGGAGAGGTCTGTGACTTCATGTTGTTTTCCCATCAGGCTTTGCACTCATTAAAATCACAAGCCGTCTTTCTTATCCTATTTTTTCATATAACCTAGACAACCTGTGATTTACTTTTTGCTTCTAGTTCCTATCAAGCACCAGTGGGTTCTGTAGCATCTTTATTTGAATTTACAACCTATGATGAGCCAACAGAAAGATATCAGAGCAATTACACATGATATTGACAATTGTAATAGTTGAACTGTAAATAAAATTCTGAGTTTCTTAGCAAAGTGAACATGATTATCAGGAAAAGAGTCAGGTAGAAGAGGAAGCTCTTTTTTTTTTTTTGGTTTAAAACATTAACAAAAATTTCACAAGTGGCAACATACAAAAGATAAGACTAAAAGGTGCCCACAACCAAATTCCCACACCGATGTAGTAATGGAATCCAGTTGGGTTTTTCTTTTCATTTTGGATAAATTGAGGGTATAACACTGCTGGAAGTTTTGATTAGGATTCAGAAAAGTAGTCAATGAAGAAATAGCAGTGGGAGCAAACCCATAGCAGCATATCTTTCAAACAATATTCCTAAGTACACTTTTTTTATAGTTGTTATTGAGATTTAATAAAAGCCAGGTAGGAGAAGTTCTAAACAAGGTGCTCTGAGAAGCCACCTTACACAGGAAGCCCATATTCTGCCTTTCTGGTTGAGGGAAGGCCATATGGTCTAAAACTCATTTCAATATAGGGTGTGGCTGAATTCCTCTTGTGAACATTGTCACTGGACAAGTGAGAGGATCCAGAGGTACCTCAGTCAGATTCTAGTCCTTAAAACATTGATGGATCTGCCTCTGTCCACTGCTCCACCCCCTGGAAATCAGAAGGATGGACTAGAGGGTCCTGCTTCCAAGCAGGGGAAAAGGCTCTTGGGACCCTCTGGTCAAGACATAAAAGAGGACATCACAGACACTGGTGATGGCAGGTAAGGAGTCAGTACTTGTTGATTACAGTAAAAGCAAGACAAAGAGCTCTGGACAGATCTCTCTGGGCATGAGAGAGTTTTTCTGACGTGCTGGGACTTGGAGTCTATACAGGTTTTAGGACTGGGGTGTGTGAACAAAGGAACTCAACTTTATTGACTGAGAAGACAAGAAGAGTGCACTGAGTGGACTGACGTCCATTCTTGTTGCTTGTTGTTACCACCAGTCTGCAGCCCGGTGTCCTGTGGAGCTCGTGTAAATCTCACCGAGGCTGTGTGCCCACAGTTCTAATTTGAATTGATCTGATCTCAAGGTCTCTGAAGGTTTTCTTTTGAGTCTGTAACTCGCTTTTTATACCATGGCAGCCAATTTGATAAACTATGTAGAGGTAGCTCAGGAATGGGAAAAAATTAATAAAAAATACAGTAAATCCAACAGGATTTATGGCAGCAGGTGTCCTGGCTAAAGTCTTCCAGTTTTTAACCTCACCTCATGGACATTGGAAAGTTTTATCCATGATTCCATTCTTGTCTCAAGATGATGGCTTTATGGAGTTGATGGGTGGAAGATCCATTTCCATTCTTTTAAAACAATTATGATTTAAAAAAAATTGAGTTCTAGTTAACATATAACATTAATTTTAGGTTCATAGAATGATCTGTATGTTTTTAAATGATCACGTATTTAGTTACCATCACCACCAAATATAAACACACATTATTTTTTCTTGTAAGGAGAACTTTAAAGATTTACCTCTTAGCAACTTGCAAATATGCAGTAGAGTATTATCGATAGTCACCACATTGTGCATTCCAGCCCCAGGACTTATTTTACTCAGAGGATTCCCTTTCATTCTGGCTATTCTCACCCCTTTCCTGAACTCCATATAGTAAGCTTAGTATACGATTATAGGAATATTTAGCGAACGACTTCACCAATAACCCGGTCCAGCTGCTCCGCAGGAGACCACACCTTTTAGCTCACCCTTGCATCTAACACAGGACCCCTGGGAGTTCTTATAGAATATGTACCCCTAAACTAGTTCACAGCCTTGGAGAAATACTTAAACTCTCCCCCTTGCAAGAACAGGTCATTATGACACTGCACATCATCACTCAGTCCAGCAAGCAGAAGCGGACACGTCCAGTCCCAGGCCTGGGAGGGGGCGAGGCCGCGGGGCGGGGCCAGGGCGGGGCGTGCGTGCGGCGGCGTGCGTGCGCGGGGGCGGGGCGGCAGCCGCAGACCCACGCCGTAAACAGAAAACATGGCGGCGGCGCCCGTTGCTTTGGGGTCCTTGCAGGCGGGCCGCGCCCGCTGGGTGGCCGCTTGCTGTGCACGGTTTGGCCCAGGGTGGAGGGTGTCCGGCTCCTTGACAGGCCCGCGAGTCGGTCCGGAGATCTGGGCCCGCGGTTGGGCGCTCGCTGCCGGGAAGGCGGCCCCGCGGAGGGGCTACAGTTCTGATGCGAAGACAGAGGACGAGCTGCGGGTGAGATACCTGGAAGAGGAGAATCGAGGTAAGGGCCGCCTGACCTAGGAAGGGTCGCAAGGTCGTGTGTCAGGGGCCTGGGTGGCAGCTCCTCCCTTCCCCCACCACATCATTGAGCCTCTTTGGTGCCTAAAGGTGTACGATTAAGGAGGTTACCTGTAAAAGTGACCCCACGCAGCGCTGGAGAGTGAAAGGCAGTTTGCCACCTCAGCTCTAGACAAGCCAAGGTCAATAAACCCGGTGTGTGTATTTGCTTCCAGGTTTTGTTCTTCCTCTGTAATTGCTTTCTGTCCACTCAGATCGGGGGAAAGAGTTTAAGCAGTTGCTATGAGAATGCACTTCTGGAGAATCTTTAAATCTGTTTAGCTGGAAGTTTCCTCCCGTACTCGTTTTATATTATAAAATTTATTTTTGGGGAAGTATTCCACTTCAGTTGAATATTTTTTAGTATTATGTTGGCCTCCCCTTTACCGTACTAAGCTCTGGGGACACGAATAGGGTGATATTGATCTTGCCCTTGAGCTACCTAAGTGGGAGGAGACAGATGCATTAGTAATACTGTAGTGCTGGAGGAAGGGCTGTGAAACCAGGGGAGATTTGGATGGATTCTTGTTGAAATTCAGTTCCTTTCACTTTGCAGTGTTGGGTAAAGCTAATGGGGGTCCTGAACGGTGTCTTGTTTTTTTTTTTTATGTTTTTATCTAGCACCTTATACTGTTAAGTGAAGGGCAACGCGAGTTAGGTAACGTTTGCTGTCTAGCTTGTATAGTACAGTTAGGAAGATAAGTGCGGATTAAAAAGTCATGACTTTAATAGTTTGGTAGGAGCAATGGACTGTAATACCTGGAAGGAGCATGTAATCAGGTCAGTGTTGAGAGATTGAAAGACTCGAGAGGAGGAGATTCTGAGGATCAACTTAGGGTTTTGCCAGGTAAACTAGTTTCAAAGCATCTCTTACAAGCAGTGGGATTTCACATTAGTGATGGTTCTTCCATATACTTCTCTTCACCTTTCTCATGTGTAAAACAGGACAAATAATGCCAACTTTGTGTAGCTATTGTGAAGAATAGATGAAGCCGTTGATACAAATTGCCCACGAGGTAGTACCTAGTTCACTGTGGCTTCTCTGGCATGATGAATTACTTCTTCTTTTTTTGGACTTGTTTCATGATTATTCTAGGCAGATACCAGAGAATATATGGTGTGTTGGGAAATAATGTAAAGGCAAATGAGGCTGTAGTGTGGTGTGACAGGCAGAATATTGAGAAAGCCAGTTGCAAAGTAGATTGGCACTGGAGTGATTGTGATTAGAATGTGAATACCACTACTATCTTTTGAGTCTTAAGCTTAGTCTCTCTGGGATATCAGTTACATTAGGTATGTCAATAGTACATTAGGTACTAAGGGCACATTTAGTAATGGGCACCATATTCTGTATTTTTTTCTTTATGACTTAAATGAATACAAATGAAAGTAAATTTTATAAAATGTTTTAAAAAATTTAAGTTGTACTCAAATGGATTAAAAGAGGAAATTAAAGCATACAAAATACTTATTATTTTAGATGTTTCCACTTACTCTAAATGTAAAATTTAGCTCTTAGGACATCATGGTTTCTTTTCTTTTTGTAAAGATTTACTTATTTATGCATACAGAACTGGGGTACAGGCCAGAGG